GCATAAACGGCTAATCCTGGAAAGGATCTGTGCACAGACATAATCCTGGCAATTTAAGGACAAATGAACCTGTAAAATCCATCGATCAAGAAACCAATCATAGTAATAGTGCATAAACGGCTAAAAGCAATACCAAAAACCCCGTACTTGTTCGAGGATAAAGGCAATTTTCTCCGTCTTTGCAATTGCTCAAAAAGTTTCTTCCTGCGATTCAAACCCATCATAGGAATGTTGGACAAGGAAAAATCAATTACAAGATCAGTGACAACAAAAGTCAACTTCTAGGTACTGCAATTTATTGCATCAAATCAGCGGCTTCTGCTATAAGACCCTGTTCTTCCTCTTCTTCTTTTTTTGCGAGTTTCTTGCTCAACCGGGCTCTCTCAATTTCGACATATATCTGCATAATGAAACGGGCTATAGAAACCACAAAATAAAAACAGATTGCTCATTAGCATAAGCTGCAATGAAGTTTGATTTCACATATTCACCTTCCCAGCGGCAACAGAGTTAAGTGTCTTGATAAGCTCTATCTTGGTCTCAAGATCAGGTGTCAGGTCAATATATTGCATAGTTTGCTGCACCATTGCTGTCAAAGCCTGTTGATAAGAAAATAGCAACACGTATGTCACCATCCGATAAATGTCGAGAGCACAATTAAAACTGAGTTAAACTATTTGATTAACAGCACTGAAAATTTTTCACTATGGAATGAAAATATAGTAAAAAGAGAACCGCAAAGGATAATGGCAAGGTGCAATACAAATACAGTATCTCTATCAAGAGGATCCCAGCCAATTGAAAACTTGCAAATAGCACAAGCACATAAATATCCCCACAAAGGACAAATCATGTAACGTATCCTGAACTAGACATGTAAAAAAAGTAATGTGATTTATACATGAGTAGACAAGAACTAAAAATTTGGGGCAATCATGGGGAAAAATCCAAGGACACAAGGTGAGAAATAGAAGAGGATTCCACCATACTAGATTCTAGAGCACAAGCACCAGGCCTGAGATCTTGCATCTCTACAGATTGCCTAGAGCCAATTCCCATATAGATATTCCAAGGAGATTCGTTTTCCAGATAGTTATATGTCAATGGTATGTCACAGCTACACAAAATGACAGTTCAAGATCTAATCGGTATACATATGGGAGGCAACCCATGCAGTATAAGTACATATAAATCTAACCCTCGAGGTAAAGGTTGTTAAGATCGATCTCAAATTATTGATATTGGACCATAATTTGGACTGATGATCATAAGACTCTACAGAAAACTAAGGTCTAAAATGATAGATTCTTAATCTTTATTTCGGTACTGACACCTGTATGTTATCTTGAAAAGGGAGAATGAGCTCAAAAGTAGAAAACAAAAGCACGAGCATCCCCACAACAGAACCACATCACTGAAGAAGCTCTCATACCTCTTGAGATCGTTAACTAGAGAAGGATCTGGGGCAAAAGTAAAGAAGAGAACAAAGCGAATGCAAAACCAGATGACGGCAGTAAAACGAAGGAAGACAGAAGGATGAAAGAAGTACACAAGGTAATGGCACTGTGCTACACTGCTAATTACTTGCCGCAAGGCTCATGTCACACAAAAGGAGGAGATTATTAAAATGAGCCGTTTTGGATGGACAGCAGTCTTGGAGATGATTTTCAACCGCTTAAAAAGTTGAAGTGTTAATTGCAAAAATGAGAATGATAGGAGTGACTCTGCAGCTGACATGAAAAAGTCAAGGGATGTATTTGCAGTTAAGTAAAGACAATAACGTTAGAACTCATGCCATCACTTTGAAGACTCTAGGCCAGTAATTTAGGAAAGGGTAAAAACTCTGTTTGTCCACCCAATTGCAGAGGCTAATGTGTGCATTCGATCCCTGAAATGGGAGGTACCCCATAATGGAACGGGTTTGTATGCAGAATATAACAAGTGAGCATTCTCCACTAGTTGTACATGATAAAAACAATATCGAATTAACTCTCCACTTACATAACCAAGGCGCAAGATTTCAGCTTTTTTATCATTTTCCCAAAATGAAATGCCTGGGAAAATGCCAAAACATTTGGCCTTAGTTATCCTAAAAGGACAATACAGATAAATATCAAATCATGCAGCTTCTGTAATATACCTTGTGCAGACCTACTGAAACAAAGCAAAAAAGTTAAACTGATACAGAGATTTGATGGAGGACAATGAGTGCACAACAAAGAATAAATCGTAAGGCTTCATCACACAAACTGGCAACTCGAAAAGTGGGACCCAAATTACACAATTAAACAGAGAGAGACTGAGCACAAGGAGATACTTCAAAAGCGTGACTGAGCACATAGCAATTAGCAAATACTTACGAACCAAGAGTTCGACGAGATTTCGAACCAAGATAATCCGCCTGCCAGACCTGCATGTATCCCAGGCACAACCTAAAACCCAACGAAAATAAACTTATAGAGAACAAAGTCGATGGCCGAAACCTAGCACACGAGCCTCGCACCCCTGTCGACCCAATCCCGCCCGTCCCTCTCAGAGTCAAGTCCAGGTCCTTGACCTCCGCAACATCGGGAGTCATGATCTTCTCAATGATCAGCTGCGCAATCCTGTCTCCCACCTTCACTTCAAAGTAGACGGCCGAGTGGTTTGAACAGGATTACCCCAATCGGGGCTCTGTAGTCCACATCGATCACACCCGCACCGACATTGATCGAATGCTTGCATGCCAAACCTGATCCTGGTGCTGAAGCAACAAATGTACAAGCGATTTGATTCAGCCCTCATCGATTATCCAAAACAAGGTATTGAAAGAATCTTTTGAGGTAAGAAGTTGCACATTACCTATTTGAGCAAATGTGCCTTAGGGCATTGTGATGCTCAGATCGGTAGGGACGAGCGCTTATCCTCTCCCCGGCACTTTCGTCGCAGCCGCAAATGTTTTTAATCCACAAACGAAGAAACCCACCTTCAGAAACCATCGCAACTTCTCAACAAGGACCGAATTTGAGACTCCAACGAAAGTAAAATTTACGGCCACGTTTTTCGCCTCGAAAGATCGTAGCCCGCCCGGAGAGAGGGGACGCTTGCGAAGGCAAGACGGCCTTCCAGGAGAGCTTCTACCCTCTAAGCAGGGAGAGAGCGGCTCCCTGGCGACGACCACCACGACGCCATTGTTGTGGAGCTTCGGGATCTTGGGGACTTGGCTCGACCATCTTAAGTGGCTGAAGAAGACGGTGATGGTTATGAGTTGAAGACAACACTACTCCGGTTTGAACAAGAGGCAACGGTCTCCAAGAAATGGCACGAATACCTTGAGCTTTGGATGAAGAAAGCGTGAGCATCCGATTTCGCCATTTGGGCCGTTCTTTGTCTGGATTGATTTCAGCCCAACAACAACTCCAACTGAGATCCTGGGAAAGTGGGAAAAGGCAAGAGTCCTCTATACTTTATAGGGGAACGATCCGCGTAATACCAAAAAATAAGAACATAAATTTTCAATTAAAAGAAGGGTTAATATCGCCTTTAGTCCCTCGACTTTCTTGTCCTGTTTTTTTCTTCAAAGGCTATCTCTACTTTTTAAAATTTATCATGTTATTGATGTGAATTGTCGAAATGCTGACTTGTAATGTCGGCCCTTTAAAATGACCATACATAGGATGGAAAAGTAAAAAAAAGAAAAAGTAATTGAAAACGGAAGAATTGTATAAAAAGAAAAAAGGAAGATGGGATTTAATGTTCTGTAAAAAAAAACAAGAAAAGGGAAAACGAATTAGGGTTTTCAAATTGGTACCACTCCAATTGGGCTAAAATTGTGGACTAAAATTAATGGCGGCTTCTTCATGAAGCATACGATCCACCCTTACTGTAATGAACATGACAAACCTTTTCTTACGTTAATTTTTGTCCAGCAAAATGTTTTGAATGCTTTATAGTAGTAGTTTTTTTTTCTTTTTCAGAATTTTAATTGGTTTTAGTAAGTGGCGAAAAGAGACCATCAAATAATGGCCGAAAAATTGATTTTTTGCGTTACGTCGAATTTTTCCTACACTACAAATAAGGCGTTGACAATTACACTAAAACATGTTTCCGGTCCCTTTAAACTAAAAACTAAATTTTTAAGAAAAAAACAATTTACTTCTCATAAATAATTGATCATGCTAATGAGGACCTCAAGAATGACTTTCAAGTGTATCTTATGATGATTGATGTAATTTCCAAAGTATTTTTTTTGGTAAAGGTAAGGATATGTATTACTTTTCAAACCACCATATACAATATAATTTCCAAAGTATTGACGGCACATATAACAAGAAAGGTTAGTACATTGAAAATTACTAATTTTCTTTGTCTAACTTATGCTAAGTAAGTTGACGTTCGCGTTCTTTAATAAAATGATAAATACATTTACTTTGTGAAGAAAGTTGCGCTTTTCACCATAGAAATTGTGCTTTGTACTTAAGTGGGCATAACTATTTCCACAATCAAAAGTTGACGTGACGACAGCTTTTTCCAATCTTTTCAATTTCCATAAAGAAATAGATGGAACTGGAAATCTATAGGACAAGGTCCACGCCGTATCAATTATCAACTTGGAGAAAAGTAACATCATTTGAGGAAATAAAAAGTAATGTTTTCTTACAGAAATGAAGCTCCCTAGAAACAGGAGCCCATTTTGGATGTGAAATGAAATGGAAAAGTAGCATTCGTTAAACCTTTACTCTTCAGAGAGCTGATGTTATTCCCGCTGTTAGAAAAACACAAGCATCGACAACATTTGTAATGCGAAACACAATTCTGTAACAAGGTGCTTATTTCAATCCAAATGAGTGCATGTGCTGATACGTTTCCCATTGGTACAAGTTCTGGACCCTTAAAGCCCACAAATCTTCAATTAAAAGGAGGGGGTAAAGAGGAAAGAAGAAAGATGAAAAGACCAAACTACATTCCTATCCAGAAAGTGTATTCAGTATATCATTTCAGTCCGAAACAAGGCCCAAATCTGGTCCCCCTGCAAAATATGCAATCAAATTTAAGACAGCTACGCGAGAGTTCTATGATGAATATCGCCAGTCCCCACTTCAGACCACAATGTGAAACAGCATTCTTCGGTGAGAGAGAGAGAGAGAGAGAGAGAGAGAGAGAGAGAGAGAGAGAGGCTCAAGGGGAGAGAGATAATTCATTCAACTAAACATCTTCGAGCCCTCAAAGCAGCCTTATGAACCACGGTTTCCTTGGGGATTTGGTGGCAACTTTTCTCGACAAGGTCAAGCAGCTTTCCCAAATTTGTCGCCCCTGAGTTCAAAATCTCATTGCTGTCCTTTGTCGTTTGGAAACTGACAATTCCCATTGGTCGGTCTATCTTAGCCATCAGGGATTTGGAAACAACCATTAAGGAGAGATGCGTCTCAGCTTCCTAAAATGGTAATATAGAAGTAAGAGGTCATGCTGATAGAATATCATACAAGCTCGTATAATTATCATTAAATGGACTGTCTATCAGATGATAGTATTGATTTAATAAATTGAGGCATGTGATTGATTAAAGCTCTTAACAACAGCAGTAAGAGAACCCCAAAAACAAAGCCCTTTTCCTTAAGTGATTCAGCTACAAAGATTTTCTGAACACATTAATCAAGATCTCTAGCGAGATATACTTTTGTAACACAGGAAATGGTGAGTGTCTCAGCCATTTCTAGCAATATAGCAGAGCTCCTCCCACAATTCTAAAGTACATTAGAATTTCAGGCTCTGCGGCACAAGAAATGGTTTCACAATGCCAGACTATGACACAGCTACAACAAATTTAAGAGCAGAAGTTGACTAAGCCAAGTGTACAAAACAAAACTATGAAGACAACATTCTCAAATCCATGACAAGCCTTTGGTGCACCAAAACTCTTACACATTTTGGAACTTGTATCCAAGTCCAGCAACCATGCCCCAATCAGGGATCACAGGCCAAGAGGCTTCTCAGGGTTAAATGAGGGGTCTAGGCAATCATTCATAAAGAGTGACATTGATAAAGAAAATAAACAAATGTTCCACATAATCAGACCTGGATACTGAGGCATAACAGCTCTGCAAGTCTCTTTAGGGTAATCCTCAAGCAATACTTCAAAACAACGATACTATTCTGCAGAAAGTAGAGTGAGTCACATCTGAATGGTGATCCAATGAAAAGAAGAAAAACGACAAGTTCTGTAATTACACGTTCGATGATTCTCTGAAGAGGCTCCTAGCTAAAGGTTAGCTTGTCTCGCCCAAGAGAAGCCAAAATTCTTCTTTTGACTATGATCGGGCCCTGTCTAAGATTTTCTGCTGCCTTCTCAACAAGTGCATCTCCTAGCATGTTTTCTCATTCTCAAATTTATCTTTGAAAGTACTTTAAAAAGGAGTCCATCGGATAACCTCCACTGTGACCAATTGTTTCAGCAGCAACTTGCGTTAAAATATCAAAGGCATGGTCGACCAAATTCTATGGCACATTATTGAGATATTGCAAAATGTACAACCAATTGCCTAGAACAATTCAAAGATGGTACCTGAATTGAAGAATTTCTGATAGATGTTTATCCTCTAAAGTGGCATTAAGAAGGCTTGACTGCATAGGACCATGTGGTTATAGAACTAAGTACCAGCAGATTTTCCTTAGAACCTGCATTTAATTAAATCACAGAATGAACAGCTGAGCCTTGAAAATCTCAGTGAAGACTTAACAAGGAAAGAGCTTCATCGGATTCCCTGCTCTGGGTTGCACTTCACTGATGGAATCTCATATGTCGCCTTATAGTATCAACAAATCTCAAGGTAATCATTGTTATGTGAGTATTACCTATGCCTACATCATGAACCACATAAAATGTGGGGTAAACTAAGATGGGAGTTCAAATCTAGCAAGTACATCTGGAACGTCAAAGTTGCGATAAAGCTAGAAAGGAAGAGGAGTATGTGCCAGATATATAAAGCCATACGAGTTCGTGGTTTGAACCACAAACTGAACACCAGGTGGCACTTGATCGGCAAAAACAAATTAGTTAAAAGATAGTGGACACAACATTAGAAAAAGCAAAATGCAAATTTACCGTATCATGGGTCACAGTATATCCATTTCAACTCCAGAAGTGACAGAATATCAGCTGGCGCTTGTTCGACCATGTTTTCACCTTCTTTAGGTCTTTTCTTCTCTTTGGAAGGATCTGCATCAAACACTCAGGGACCTGATCTTCCTGGAAAGGATATGTGAACAGACATAATCCTGGCGATCTAAGCACAAATGAACCTGAAAAATCCATTGATCAGAAAACCAATCATAGTAACAGTGCATAAACAGCTAAAAGCAATACAAAAAACCCGTACTTGTTAAAAAATAAAGGCAATTTTCTCTGTCTTTGCCATCGCTCCAAAAGTTTCTACCTGCATTTCAAACCCATCACAGGAATGTTAGACAAGGAAAAACCAATTACATGACAACAGAAGTCAAATTCAAGTTACCACGATTTCTTGCATCAAATCAGTAGCTTCTGCTATAAGACCCTGTTCTTCCTTTATTTTTGCAAGTTTCTTGATCAACCTCAATTTCGACATATATTTGGCATGACGAATCTAGCTATAGAAACTACGAAACAAAAACAGATTGCTGATGAATATAAGCTGTAATAGAGTTTGATTACACATATTCACCTTACCAATGGCGACAGAGTTAAGTGTCTTCATAAGCTCTATCTTGGTCTCAAGATTAGTTGTCTGGTCAACATATTGCATAGCCTGCTGCACCATTGCTATCACAGCCTGTTGATAAGAAAGCAGTGATATGTTGGTCACTATCCAATCAAGTCAATGACTTTATTACATCTAGATCACAATTAAAACTTCGATTTGAACTATTTGATTAACAGCATGGAAAACTTGTCACTCTAGAATGAAAATATGGTCAATAAAGGAACCAAAAGGGACAATAGCAAGGTGCAATACAAATACGGGTATCTCTATGAAGAGGATCCCAGCCAATTGAAAACTTGCAAACAGCACAAGCACTATAATATCTCCATAAAGGACATATCATGAAACATAACATGAACTAGACATGAAAAAAATGTAATGTGTATCATACATGAGTAGGAGAACAGGAAGTAAAAATTTGGGTCAATCATGGGAGAGAATCCAGAAACACAAGGTGAGAAACTGAGAAACTGACGAGGATTCCACAACACTAGATTCTAGAGGATTCCACCATACTAGATTCTAGAGCACAGGCACCAGGCCTGAGATCTTGCATCCCAACAGATTGCCTAGAGCCAATTCCCACATAGATATGGCAAGCACATTCGTTTTTTAAATAGTTATACATAGATGGTATGTCACAGCTACACAAAACGACTGTTCATGATCTAATCAGTACACATATGGGAGGCAATCCCTGCAGCATAAGATCTAACCCTTAAGGTAAAGGTTGTCAATATTGATCCAAAATGATTGAAATTGGACAATACTTTGAATCAATGATCATAAGACTACAGAAAATTAAGGTCTAAAGTTATAGATTCTTAATCTTTTTTCTGTACTAACACCTGTATGTTATCTTTGAAAAGAGGAAATGAAGCTCAAAAGTAGAAGACAAAAGCAGGAGCATCACCACAGCAGAAGCACATCACTGAGGAAGCTCTCCTACCTCTTAAAGAAAGTTAACTAGAGAAGCATCTGGGCCAAAAGTATAGAAGAGAATAAAACAATGGCAAAACCAGATGATGGCACTGAAAAGAAGAAGACAGGAGGATGAAAGAAATAAACAGGGTAAAGAGCTATATGCTATGACATAAAAAAGAATTCCGTCCCCAGCCAGAAGAGATGGTTGCTGTACAAAGGTGTTTGCATTGTGCTGCACTGCTGTTTGTGGAGGCACAGCAGACCTTCCATTACCCCAGCCCAAGCTCTCATGAAGATAGAGCCCACTTCCAACTCCAGCAATAAAAAGTTATTCTTACTCCAGTGAAAAGCTTATGGATTCACCCAAGTCTGTATAGAAAGTATCTTCAGCCTTGCCACAACCACCAATTAAATCTTCCATCTAATCTAATTCAGGATGAGAGCAACACCTCAATCTCATTTATAATCCCCTCATAGTTCAATCCCCAAAGTTAGCCCTAATTAGCAGGTTTGGCCTTTAGATATTGTTTTAGACGCACAATGGGTCATGGACAATGAGAACAAGGGCCTAATTTCATTTAATATGATGTTGAGTCCTAATTAAATAGGCAAAGTAGGATATTTGGGACTGGGATTAGGAATCCCATTCTACATATCCAATGATCCTACTCCTGATCCCAGCTGGGAATGATTTTTGAGGTGACCAACTTCCATCTTTTTGATTGCATCCTATACAGATGGCAATCCTAAAAACGATTTTCAATGTAATAATCTTGTATAGATATAACTAACAGCCACTATTCATAATGCTCTGACTAATCCAGAGGAACTTATCAGCATTCGGCGTAGCATAACAATGAAACACCATCAATGAAGAGCAAAAATTCCACCAACTTATCATGCAAAAGCAGAGATGAAAAGGTAAATACCTGGGCATAGGTTAACATCAACGATCCCATTTGCTCCTAAAAAAGGAGTGCAAGATACTTCTTTTTATTACACGAAAGTTTGGGAGCAACCAAATACAGGAAAAACAATTTAACATGTATGATTATCCAAGTATCAGTGTCATCAAATAATTTTGACACCTTTATATCTTTTGAAGAGGAAGGTGAAGAGTGCTTTGAGCTGGGAAGACAAAAGTTCATGGCCCAAGAACTAGGCAGATGACTGAACACAATAATCTTGGCTCCTGCTTTTTTAATATTCCTTTTGCCACCAGCAAACATAACACATGCTGTGTTCATGCAAGGGAGAAACTCCACACGATGGAGAGGTACAACCCATACTCATAGTTCATCTTTAATCAATTGTATATTAGTTTGTCTGTGGGTAGACAAACATCAATCCTTGAATTAGTATTATGAATCACTCCTCTGGCACCCAATCTCAATTTCTTTTCTCCCTGATTTCTTTGTTATGTAAAAGGTATAATAAGTGAGGCACCAAGGAAATACCTATCCGTCTCTATACAACATAATTCAAATCCTAAAACAAATCTAGTAACCAGAATAAAAAACAAAGAGGAGCACCGACTACTACTATCTTCACTAAACCCTGAAAAGATGACAAAACAAAATAAAACTACTTAACTTAAACAATGTGCCTTCTCTCTGTCATCATAGACCAAGGGTATCATCTATTTTCCAATCCTTCAATGACATATGTTACTTCAACTCCAAAGGGAGGGTCCATCTTGTAAAAGTACAGGTTCAAAGTATTTTGCTAGTAACCGCCTACTAGATAGTCCCACAATGTCCACCTTATCCACACAGCTTTGTGCATTATTCTTTTACTCAGCTGAAAGAATTATTTCTGTCCTTGGTTGATGAGAACTTCCAGTTAGTGTTCTTGGTAGGATTCAACATCACACAATCTTACGTTGGCTTAATGTATCGGGGAGATGTTTCCCGATAACTAATCTTGGTTAAATGTTTTGGTTAAGTTACCAGGTAACCTTCGGACAACTTCTACCTATTGAGTCTGCTGTCTCCTCCAGAGCTAAGGGGTTATGGTGGAAACTGACTTTGTACTACTTAGGTGATGAAGACTCGCCGATATCAAGCAAATTCACTTCATAAGTAAACACAAGTACCCTTCCAGAAAGGATATCACCAGGCCATCCCTTCGCTGTTTACATATTTAGGCGCAACCATTAGACTTCCGCAGGAACATCATCAACCCCAACCTTTCTTTCATTAGAGGAAAAGAAGAAGAACTAACCAGGCAGGCGAATCAAGAATCAGAAATTGGACAATTGCTAGTAAAGGACGATTCGATCAAAAGAAGAAGAACTAACCAATCTCGATCCGCTCCTAGATATCGGAAGTCGAGCTCGAGGAATCGGCAAGAAGTCTGCCAGCACCCATCGCTTTTTTCCGTATGAGAGAGGACTCGGTGAACCCCCTCCCTCAGTCGCGAAAACTTCCGCTCTTCTTCCGTTTCCACTCTCTCTCTCTCCTTCTCCGAACGCAACTGACGATGAGAGAGAAAACGAAACGGTTAAGTAAAAAAAATTTAGGGAATGGGAAGAGAAAATAGGAGGAGATCCGAAACACCTTCTGTCTGTGATCCTCCCCCACCACTGGCCCAGACGACCTCTCTCTCTCCGACCTCCCTCCGGGACTCCACTTCCAAGCGGATCCCCCCCATCACCACCTCCACCCCTACGTCGAGAATGATTGCCTTAAACGCAACAGGTCCGGTGATTGTCGAAGAGACGGGCTTCCAGAAATACGGAATGACCGCAATGGTCCTAATCCCTCGAGCCCTCGAATTTCAACTAAATTTTCGCAATCGTAAAGATAAAAATCCTGCAGATTCTTTATGTTCGAAAGGTCCACTGATCTAAGGGAAGAGCACCAGCCAATAATCAAAAATGTCAAGGATTCTGATCTATCGGGGCCTTGAATTTCAGTTACACTATTGCAACTCCAAACAGAAAGGCTTCTCAGGTATTTAAAACTGGAAAAGTCTAGCACTCGTCCGGCGGATGTGCACTTAAGGATATCCGACACTTGAGAGGATTTTGATCCACCAGGGTCTTGGATTTCAAATGAATTTGCACAACTTGCTGTGGCGTCCATTCTCTGCAGAATCTTTGAATCGGAAAGATCTAGCGATCCATCGAGCTGAGATGCATTTGGGCTCATCAACGTCGAAGAATCTTCAACCCCATCAACCCTAGATATCTTAGGGCATTTCCCTGCAGGTAAGTTGGATAGGCAATGTGAACCTTCCACGCCGATGACTTCTGTGAGATCAAAGCACCGGTAGAGAAACAAACATGGTAAATGCTTCAAGTTTGACACATTCGTCAATGCTTTCAATTTTCCGCAATCTATAATATGAAGCCGAGATAGTCCAGTGGGAAGCTCTGGGACACTTTCAAGCCAGGGGCAATTACAAACAGCGAGTTTCTTGAGACGGGTTAGCTGGGAAAGATGGGGCAACGGCGGACTCTGGCAGGTGATCCTTAGATCTGTTAAGCCAGAGGGCAGTTCTGGTAATTCTCGGAGGTTTTCACAGTATCCAACATAGAGCACTTGTAGAGAAGAGAGCTTAGAAATGCTTTTTGGCAAGCTCGAAATGCCGGATTGTTCTAAAGAAAGCTCCTCTAGTGAAACCAATTCGCATATATTACTAGGTAGTCGTTCTAGCTTTTTGCATCCTCTAGCTTCCAACGTTTGGAGTTCTGCCAACTTCCCGATGGCATCAGGCAATTCCGTTATGGCAGTATCACCAATGTCCAAGAACCTCAAATTTGGCATATTCCCAATGCTTTCAGGTAATTTCGTAATCGATGTGTTTCCTAAGTCCAACTCAATCAATGATGCTAATTTTTCAATCGAGTCAGGGATCTCTGTCAATGAGGAGCAGTCATGTAAGAACAAGCTTTGTAGGGATGCTAGATTGCCTATGGAGCTAG